ACCTCCTGGAATTTGGGTTGGGTGAATGGATGCTGATTAGACTTTCCAGGTCCTAGCAGGGACTGTCCCATCACTAGCTCTGTGACTTTGTTACCGGGAACTGGTCTCAGTTGTTCCTATTTCACATGCTTGTTGGTGGAATGGGCAAATCGTGAGATGCCAAGCCTCCCTGCAGGTGCATTAGGCACACTGCAAGGGCATCATGGGCAAAGCAGGGTTTTTCTTATTAAAATACTGCCACGAGTAAGAATCCAGAGACAGCCAGGTTGCTCACACTTCAGCAATTTTCTTGCATTGCTGTCCCAACCACCTTCTCTACAATCCATTTGGCACGGATGGATGAACAAGTGGTACATTGTGTAGCTCTGCTCACCTCCAGATTCTACTACGAATGCTGAGAGCACCATCGAGTGCTGTGGGATGTCTTTCTGCGGGCTGTGAATGTGTTGCTCCCACGGGCTAATAAATAAAGCTGTTTGGGCCTATGGCAAGAAGGCTTACAGCCAGGTGGGGAGAGAGAGAGGAGAGAAGAAAGGTGGAGTCAGGGGAGACACGATCCAGCCACCAAAGAAGGAAGATGACGTGAAAATACCAGTAAGCCATGAAGACACATGGCAAGACATAGATGAGTAGGAATAGGTTGAATTAAGTTGAAAGAGCTAGCTAACATAAGCGGGAGCCATAGGCCATACAGTTTGCAATGAATATAAGCCTCTGTGTAATTATGTTATAAGCGGCTGCGAGACCACGGGTGGGAGAGATTCGTCCAGACTAGGTGGGACCGAGAACTTCCGCTTACAATAAATAAGTGTATGTGTGTGTTGTTACAAGGCCTTTCTTATGTAGTCCAAGCTAACCTCCAATTCCCTATGTAGCCACAGATGCCTCCACCTCTGGTACCTGGGATGTTATGTGCATTTTCCCTCACACCCAGGTTTTGCATTGCTGAGTGTGGAGCGCAGGCTGCATGCGTGATAGACAGGAGCTCAACCAACCAGGCCCTCTCCTCAGCCCCTCCTAGAACGTTTTATTGAAACATGTGAATAGTTGTTGTTTACCTATTTTCCCATGGCTGCTTTTGACCTACAAGGGCAAAATTGAATTGGTGAAACAGATTTTAACGGCCAGCAAAACCAAAACAATCTCCTTTCTGGCCTTTACAGAAAATGTTTGATGACCTTTAATCTCAAAGAGTTCCGAAGGATTTGAAATTTGTTCACAATAAGAGAAAAAATCATTCATTAGTAATTCCATCAGTTCCCAAGATACAGATAAACTAAGAACTGCAGTAGGTAAGACAAAGCCTCACAGTAAAAGACCACAAATCAGAGAGAGGATTAGGCACACATGGACCAGATTTTCAGCTGAACACTCTGTGTTAAGTCAAACTCCTTCTCCTTCTCCTGGAAGATGATAACGCGGCAGATGTGGAGCCTGAGATACACAAGCTGAGTGACCTTCCCTGGGTCACACAGCCAGCTCTGGACAAAACCAGGATTTCTAACTACTGCAGTTAAGCTCAACACTGTAATCCTGACTGGGTGTTGCTTTGTGGTAGAGTATCTATGACCCTGGGTTCCATCCCAAGCAAAACAAACCCCTCACAACCACACTGTTTTTTCTTATGGTGCTGGAGATGAACCCTGGGTCTCGGGCATGCTAGGCAAGGGCTCTGCCGCCCACCTACACGTGAAACCCCACTTTATTAGTCATAACTGAAACTCATGGAGGCTTATTATTTCCCTAAACCTCTCAGCGACTATGGGATACATGCACATGATCTCTACAAAATAAAAACAAAAAGAAGAAAATCAACGCTGATTCCATAATTACATTGTTTTGCTTGCCACTGAGCTACCCAGAGTGCCGAGTCTGCTTTTGTTGACTATCTGCAAGGCAAATGATGCCTGCAGGCATTGTTCCTAAGTTCTTCACCTGGTGCAACACACCGTCATAGTCCAGTCATGGGAGCAGCATTTAATGAAACATTTGAGAAAGACTGACCTGAAGCCCACCAAGACTGACTCGGTACTTCAGTATTTGACCCTCTTCAGAAGCGATGGTAAGCGCTTCCCTGTGACAGTTACAGAGAGGAAGGAGCCGCTGTCATATGGAAGAAGAAAATGGTTTCTTAGGCTCTGTTGGGTCTATGTTTGGCCAGTGAGAACCCAAAGCAAATAAGATTGAGGCTACAATGTATTCACTGGGGATGTTTTTGTTCCTGAGTGAGTATTAATGCCTCATGTGAGTGACGGTGACAGAGAAACTCTGAAAACACGTGCCCAACTGCAGATCTGAAGAGTTCTCAAACCTCCTTGAACCGCATGGGAACTCCTCGAGAGAAGCTTGAGAGCCCCAGTCCTTCCGTTAATTATTATATTTTTCATTGCCATGACCAAACATTTGATAAAAACAACACAGGTGGGCTGGGGGGTGGGGGGAGACTGGGGAGCGGGAGGAGGGAACAGAGGGAGATCTGTGGTTGATAATGTAAAACGATTAAAAAATTTCTTAATAAAAAATAAATAAATAAGGGAGGAGGGGGAGGGGTTTCTTCTGGCTCCAGTCTAAGAAGCGACACCAACGGTGCTGGCAGGGAAGGCCTGGCTACCAAAGCTGGTTACAGTGTGTCTTCAGCGGTCCAGGGGCAGAGAGAGAGCAGACCGCAAGTGCCGCGGGGCCAGGAAACTTCACGGCTCTGCCTTGCCTGACCCACTTCCTCCAGGGAGGCTCCACCTCCTGGAAGTTCCAGAGCCTTCCAAAACAGCCCTGCTACCTGAGGACCAAGTGTTCAAACACGTGAGCTGTAGGGGGGTGGTCCACATTTGGACTCCGGGAACAGGCGCACCTGGCCCAAGGCCATGCCTTCCTCAGACTCCCCAAATACCAGCTCTTGATGGGCAGAGCCTGATGCTGCCGTGCCGCCCGTAAACTGTGGCCGCGCTAACAAATTAAGTTCTTTGCGTCTCCCAAATGCACCCCCAACTGTAGAGGGGCCCCCTTGGAGTCGGCTCAGAACACACCCAGACACCAAATGCTCGGCATAGAGGAGATCTATACCCCAGAGGGGCAAAGGAGGGTGGAAGCGGGTGAGGCGCCACCTCTGGATCAGAGGAAGGCAGCAGCAGGTGTCTCTGCAGAAGTGGGTTTTTAAGGAGAAAAGGGGATGTCTGTGCTAGGATGAGTTGGTAAGTCCTGATTGGACAGGTTAGCCTGTGTAGCCAAATAATGAATCTTGATTGCTGGACTGTGGTGTTTAGTCTAAGTAATGAGTCAGTGGCCAAAAAAGGAAACAGACCTCGGGGGCTGGCTTTAGGAAGGTAATTGAAGGCTTTAACAAGGGAAAGGAATGGGAAAGGATAAAAATCTGTGGAGGGGTGGGGGGAAGGTGGGGGGCGAGTTTGCCAGGCTTGGACCTGTTAGAGAGCCCTCCGTCAATCTTTTTTTTTTTTTAACATAACTTTTTTTTTTTTTATTGATTCTTTGGGAATTCCACCTCACGCACCCCAAACCCAATCCTATTCATTTCCTAGTCTCTCTGTAGCTGCCCTTCACCCTTGTAGTGTTTTCCCCAAAGGAAAACTAAAAAAGAAATAATAAAAATAAGATAAAAATAAAAAATAAACAAAAAACAAACAGAAAACCAACTAACCAAACAAACAAAAAACTGCTCTGCGCCTCCATCTTTCCCGCCTCTCCATCGCCTCTTCATTTATCTTAGCACTGGGAGCTTCGGTGTGTCATGCAGTATTCCCTTTTGTCCACACGGCTTTACTTGCACATGTTCATGGTGTGATGTGTTGTTGGTCAGGTTCAAGGCCTCTGGCTTCTGGTACACCATCCATGCTGGACCCTCACGGAATCTTCTCTTGGATATCCTGCTGTTGCCCAGTCGTGGAGATCCTGTGACCATGGTTCCACAGGGCCAGTGCCTTCACATACTCTAGCAGGTCATAGATGGGGTAGATGTTGGGGAGTGCCACCTCAAAGCCCATCAAACCTCAAGGTGCAGACCTGAGTGATCTTTGCCCAGATCTGGGATGGTCTGTTTGTGTCTTTCATTTCATCGTTTGTTTGTATTGTTTTACATTTAAAATGCTAATGTTAGCTACCCCTGCCTTGCGTCATCATCTGTTGGAACTGTACTATCCAGTCATTTTCTCAGTTTTCTAACTGCTGCTAACACATTTGGAGAGTTGTCACTTTCATTTAAGAAATCATTTATCTAAGCTGGGCGGCGGTGGCCCACGCCTTTAATCCCAGTACTCGGGAGGCAGAGGCAGGCAGATCTCTGTGAGTTCAAGGTCAGTCTGGTCTACAGAGAGTTCCAGGGCAGCCAGGACTGCTTCACTGATAAACCCTGTCTTAAAAAAGCAAAAACAAAACAAAAAGAAATCATGTATCCAAAGCAAACACCCGGTGTCTGCAGGCTAGCTCTTGTCAATACAGGGGCGTGTAGGAGGAACTTTAGAATTGAAATGTGTCTATCTGGAATTAATCACAAACAAAACAGTTTAGTGGGGCCATTGAGAACCTAGCTTTGAAGGCCGCCTGGTCAGTGTGGAAAGCTTGTTTACTTTGACGCTGAACAAAGAACCAATCTTTATATGCCTCCCTTTCCCATCTTAAACTGGGGGTGGGGGGTGGTTAGAGTCTACAGTGGTTAATAAGGATACATTGAATTAAGCTGTTTAAAAGGCTTATAATCATACCTAGGAACATTGAGAAATGCCATATTATTGATTCCACAATTGAAATAAAGGCATCTTAGAAAAGAATGTGAAGGGGTTCAATCGCCAGTAAACTGGGCTGAGATACTTGAGACCCCCCCCACCACACACACACATGTGAGAGAGAGAGAGAGAGAGAAAGGGGGGAGGGAGGGAGGGAGGAGAAGAGAGAGAGGAGGGAGAGATAGACAGAGACAGACAGAGACAGGGAGAGACAGAGAGAAAATAATGTGAAGGTTTTAAACATGCATTCCTTCCTGTCTCTTTAAGGTCCAGACTACATAAAAGATCACTTGGCTAAAGTTCACCAGCATACCACCTATATAGGAGAAAAGCGCCCAGCATTAGAGAAAACTGGAGATCTCAAGTATTTATGGAGATCTGCCCTAAACCGAAGCCTACCAGCAAAATATAAACATGAGTATGTTGGTGAAGTTGGATGGGGGATACCAGAGTACAGTTTCATCAACAGATCAAGACTGGAGAGTGGCTTTCACATCAAGGTACTGCTCTTAGTTTGACACCCTTCCTAGGCTCCTGGGTTCTGATCTGAATTCATTGTGAGTCTGCATCGTAGGCAATGGCATGTCCTTAGTCACACTGAGAAGTGATAGCATCTAAGTCTTGCAGGAAGATAACTGTTGGCAATAAATGTACTTGTTTGCAACACACCCTTTCAGCCCTTTTAATAGATACGAGGAGAGGTAAAAAGAAAGCACAACCAACAGAGAGAAGCCCTGTGCTGGGAGAGGGAAGGTAGCCAGCGTCATGTGTATGTGGAGGCATTTGCACATGGTCTTCACGCTCGCACGGCTGTGAGTGGGCCGTGTCAGGGAAGAAGGTGGTGCAGAACTGCAAATCTGCAAAGCAAAAAACCACGGAGTCAGATCCTGAATGTCACCATGTTGAGCATGCTGTGTTGGTGACCAGGGCTCTATAGTCTAGAACCCTTGTCTCGTTTCCTTTGGATGGTGTGGACCAAGGCAGGTGCCCACAAAGTCATCTCAAAAACAGAAAGAAGTGGAAGTGATTTTAGAGGCAGTGTCTGGGAATGCCAACGTGTTTACAGACAGGCTTTAGCACCCTCTGTACACTGATGATATATATACATCACACAACGGCTGAAGTTCCAGATTTCCTCAAGTTGTTTTTTGAAGTGTGTGTGTGTGTGTGTGTGTGTGTGTGTGTGTGTGTGTGTGTGTGTTGTGTGTGTATGAGTGTGTGGTGTCTATGTATGGGTATGTGGTGAGTGATGTGTGTGTGATGTATGTATGGGTGTGTGATGGGTATGTGGTGTCTATGTGTGTGTGATGTGTATGGTGTGTGTATGGGTGTGTGGTGTGTATGTGGTGTATGTGTGTATGTGTATGGATGTGTGATTTCTGTGTGGTGTGTGTGGGTGGTGTGTGTATGAGTGGTGTGTGTGTGTGTGTGTGTGTGTGTGTGTGTGTGTGTGTGTGTGTGTTGCATGGAGACTGGGCTTCCTTGGCAGAGGTGTTAAGCCATGGTGCTCTCTGTTCACTTTCCTGGTCCTGCCATCTTAACAGTAATTCTTTACAGAGACCCACCTGTGTCTCATAACAGTCTTAGCTTCTTTTTTTGCCTTTTCATATTATGTCTTTATATTTTATTCTTTTAAAAAGGCCGGAAAACCAGTAGTTAATACAATTCTTAAGCAAGTGAAGTGAGTGCATTAGGTATCAACCAACCCAGCAATGCAGTAGGAGACAAGGACCAGCAGAGCATGCACGAGGAATCCACAGGAGCTGTTACCAGGGCTTGTGAAAAATTAGAAAACAAAACCCACCGATATCAAAACTATCCAACTTAAATAAAACGTTCTTATAATGATACATTAGATAAATAATTACCAAATACACTTTCAAGCATGGTGAACATTAACAAAATACATTGCAATTGACAGAATGCCCCAGCCCCAGAAATTAGTCCATCTGAAACTGTCTTGCTGTTACTGATCAACCGTCACCAACGAGCCACATCTGTCTCCCAGAGAGGACTGTTTTCTGAGGCAGGCAGTTTCACAAGTTAGCCTACTCTGCTTGGGAAAGCAGTTCCAAGATGAGGGAGCCGTAAATTTCTGAAAAACATTTTGCCCAGCAAATACCCTCCACAGCTGGATCACCTTCCCCATACCTAAGGTTCCTGCCCAGTCCTGGAAGAACCCTGACCAGCTCCCTCCCCATCACACATTTCCACCCTCAAGGAAGGCTGATGCCTGTCACTGCTGGCCTATAAACAGGCTAGACAGTTGAGGTCAGGCTTTGCTCTCTCTCTTGCCTCTTGTTTTCTTACCCTGTGCTCCGAACTCTAATGGTAACTCTAAGAGAAAAAGTTTAAGACCCAACTTTATATAAGGAATGGGTAAAAAAGTATAAAACGAGTATTTAATAACAATTGTCTCCCCACACGTTCTCTAGAACTGCTAACTAGAAAATAATAATAATTTTATAAAAAGCTTATTTTTACATGGTTTCTGTCAAAATTTTCCTTTCTTTTTATTAAAATGTATCATGTTTCTCCTTTCCCTTCCCTTCATCCAACTTCTTGAATGTGCCCATCCCCAACTCATTCTCAAATTCCTGGCCTCCTCCTCCTCTTTAATCTTAGACACTTCCTTAAAGGATCACGGGACTTAGAGATGGAGAGTAAGAAAAGCTCCTGAGAATGATGGCGTGTGGTAACTACACCTATTAGCAAGGAGCGCCTACAACTGACCCACCCACGAAGTCCTTTGCTGGGGCTGCTACTCTTCCCCTCCAGTCCCAGCCCTGATTTCTCGTGCACCCACGGTAAAACTCCAGGTCTAGACTCAGATTCCAATCCCTTGTAACCCATTTACTTTCACCCACTCAGATCCAGGCACAGACATTTGCATTTGCGGAACACACCGGTTCCGTGTACACAAACCTGTTCCAAAGTACAGGAGGTACAAGGAATCAGATCCAACGGCATACAGGCCTGTGATCCCGGCAGCGTTTGGGAGGCTGAGGCAGGGGAATCACTCAAGGCCAACCTGGGACCCAGAGAGAACTTGTCTCAAAAGGCAAAAAGAATGAGAGGGCAGAGAAAAAGAGGGAATTGAGAGAGGGAGCAGCAAGGACGCCCGGGGGGAGGGGGGGCGGCGCGCAAGGAGGGGAGGGGAGACAGAGGGTGGAGGAAAAAGCAGGGAAAGAAAGATGATGGAATGGAGGCAGGGAGAGAGACCAGAGGGCCAGGGAAGGAGAAGAGAGGAGAGTGGTGGGTGTCAACTGAGGTCACCTTAGAGAGGACAGAAGCCGTCACGTAGGTGATGTCTCAGTCTACTGCCCGTTATTTCTCCAACGCCTTTTTCTCCCCCCGAGACTTCTTCCACATCTGTGGCCATTCCTTTCCTGTCCTATTCCACATCAACGCGACCACGTTTCCTTTCTGACTGCAGACACTCCTCAGAGTGTAGTAGGCGATAGCTCAGAGCTGCAGTTTTAGCACAGACCTTTGCTGGCTGTTTATAGCTCCAGCAGCCGGGCTTCCTAATTTAAGCTCCAGGTCTGTCTGAGACCAGCAGCCAGGACACTCAGGCACTTCCAAGAAACTCCTGCAAAAGTGCCTGGGGCCGCGGCCTTCTACCTGAACCCTCTTATTTAGAGCAAAAGGAGAGGGCTCCCCAGGTCATAGGATAAATCATCTGGCTTGAGCAGTGAGACAATAACCTCTGTGCCAAATGACAACCTGAACACTTAAACACTTATCACATGGTAGAGGTCAGTGAAATGAACTCCCAAGAATTCCCACCTCTTTCTTGCTGTCTGTTTGTCTCTGTCTGTCTGTCTGTCTCTGTGTCTCTGTCTCTGTCTCTGTCTCTGTCTCTGTCTCTCTCTCTCTCTCGTGTGTGTGTGTGTGTGTGTGTGTGTGTGTGTGTGTGTGTGTGTGTGTGTGTGTGTGTCTGTGTGCTTAGCTATTTCCACCTGGCCTTATGTGTGTTACAGTACCATGGTCATGCATGTATATATCAACCAGGAAAGCCCATTATTTTTGCTATTATCTCAGATTTAAGAGCAGTGCATTCTTCTTGTTTAAATGGACTTGGCCTCTGCCAAACTATATATTTCATTTCTACAAGAGTATACGGAGCCCAGTGAATCAATGCCTGTGGCATCCTAATGGCCTCTCCAGTGGTCTGTCTGCCTCCTCACCCCTGGCCTTGCTTTAACCCAGACCTCAGCAGGGTCAGGCTTCCTGATGCCCGTTCTCTGCTCCTGCACTCTGACCTCAGCGCAAATTGATTTAAGTCAGTTGCTTCCCCGACAGAAATGATGTCATATTGGACTTGGTCAGCCATTCTTCATTGGTATGATCCCCAAGACAACATTAAATACATTCATCAAAATATGTATTACAATGTTTTGCAATATAGAAACCCACCTATATACGCATATGTGAGGTGGTTAATAACAACTTTTTCCAGGCTTTGATAATTCTGCCACAGTTTCAACCCAGAATTTAATGAATTCTATCAGCATGCTCTAGGTGGGGCTTCTTTTGACCGTTTAATGACATTTGAATGGATTTCTGATAAGATACCGAAGTCCTTCGTGGCTGATGGGTTCAGTTTGTCCTAAATTGGTTGCTTTGTTGGGCATTTTCCTCACTAGTGAATAATTTAGGGAAGAGAAACAAGAAAAGGGCTACACCAGACAGTTTAATGAGAACACACAACGGTCCTCTCTATTGATATTTGACAGATAAGGCGAGTGTGCTATGGACAGGTGAACTCTTTACCTGAGGTCAGAGGTACTAACTGACAGGGGCAGGATTTCAGCCCAGGTATGTCAAGCACACGGTGAGAGAATATGATGCAGGAAATGGAAGGCCAGGCTCCGGGTGCCTTGTCACGTGCACATCCCTGTGACCAGTGCTCTGCTGCTCAGTTCTAGTTGCCTCCTTGGCTAAAGCATGTAGTCTTTTCATCACTATTCTGTCAGAGTTCTAACTTTTCACTCGGCACCATTTACACAACCTCATCTGTGATATGAAGTTGTTCGTGGGGACTAGGCAGATAGTGGATGGAATAATAATTTGGTCATGCCTACCTTTGACATTTTAATTGAAGAAGCATTTTACAGCCCATCAAAACAAATCAAATATTACCAGTAGTATCCTGGCGGCTAGAAAGACAGGGCCTTTCAGCAGACGACACGGTCTTTCCTTGTCCTCGTGCGGTAAAACATCAGTTTCCCCTTTCTCAAATCCAACTACAAAAAATGTTGACAGTGTGGATCTGCTAAGTTTATAGAACACCAGAACACATATTTTGGAACTTGGGGGGTATTCTCCTCACTCTAAAAGTTCTCATTTATCTGTGGGTTTATTTAGAATTATCGTAAAAGCAGTCACCAGTCTTGAGTCTCATTTGGAGGCACTGAGGACTCAACCTAGGGTTTCCATGCATGCCAGTCTTGAGTCTCATTTGGAGGTACTGAGGACTCAACCTAGGGTTTCCATG